GAAACAAGAGAGTTCGAAACAAAAAACCAAAACAAAAAAAAAGGAAAACATTCGTTGGCAGGTGCAGGAGGAGATCTTTCCTTTGAGGTTTAATTGCGGGTGGGCGGCCTCAGACGCGAAAAAAAAATTGGGACAAGGTGCATGTAACAGTCGAAGAATAAACCATAGGTACGTTGATAAAAAAAGTAAAAGAAACAAGCAGAAGAAGTTTAAGAGTGATTGCGTACCACCACATGTCCCATACAACTCAGTTTCATTCTGTTTTCATCATCTCTCCTCGCGAGGGAACATCATTATTAGAAGAAAACGATTGCGTGAACGGGTCATTAAGCGGAATTTCGCGAGCAATAAAATCCGCCGAAAAAGGGTTTCGCACGCGAAATATGAATTATGCAATCTGGGTTTGCTCTCAACCCTATGAAAGAAAACAGCGCACAGAGAGAAAAAAAAGGAGAGAGACAGAAAGAACTAAAAAAAAATCCAATTCAAACTGCGCGCACTACATAATATGAAAAAGAGAATCTTTTCGCTCACCCTTCGTATTATTTTTTTTTCGCTTTCAGTATTGTCCTTCTCGGAGGAACGAAAGAGTTGTACCCGAAATTCGTATTAACTCTAGCGGAGGGAGATAATGATGCGAAAAAAAATTACGCAACGCTTTTGTTTGGCCGCGGTTTCTGTTAGGGTGGGAGTAGGGTGGATTTTGGTGCACTAAATCACACAACTTCTTTCTTTAATTACGAAAATGGAAAATTCTGCGGCGCGTCGAAAAGAATCCCGCAGGAAAGAAAACGCGAAATTTATGAGTTTTAATGAATTATAGTTATACCTTAACTCATTTATCATCAATTGTTCTACACATTTGAAATAAAAAAAATGCAAAAAAAAAATATAAAAATAAAATTAAGTTTATTGGTATTATTTATCTCTTACATTTTCAAAAGTGATATTTATTTCAAAATTAGATACAAATATATTTTTTATTCAATTCATTAATAAAGGAAAAGCAATAAAGGAAATTAGTAATTCATTATTATAAAGTATGGAAATAATTATATTTTTTCTTGGTTTCATTGTTTTCTTGCTTCATTTAATCACTTAAATAATGATAATTTTTATTCGAATTTTTGTACATAAGCTACTATCGATACATTATGGGTTAATATAAAAAACATACCATTTAACATTGACATTTTACAGATATGCTTGTACTTGAATCAATTAAATGTATTTACCTTGATTAAAACAATGCATCAAAACAGTATTTTTTAGTAATTCTATCTTTTTTTCTATCAAATTAAACCAGTTTAATTATATGGAAAATAACAAAAGAAAGCACTTTAAAAAATTACACAAATTACATAATGATCGACACAATAATAATGACAGAAATAAACTGAAGTCAAATGGTTCCATTATGCATGAAGAGTTTCGTAAGAAAATAAAATATATAAAAAAAAAACATTGTATTGAGTCTGAAATATATGCTGAGACTTATCTCCTGAACGCAAGGACGCATGGCACACATCGGTTTCTATAAATTGCATGATTCGAATGTGAACGGAAATGTCGTTATTCAATGGGTAGAAAATGTAGCTCTGTAGGTATGTGAGTGCGATGAAGAGAAAAAATACAGTAGATTAGATGTCTTCTGAAATTTGCATTTTGACTTATCGTTAGGCGCGAAGGACGGAGCGATAAAGGCCGTTTCCGGTTTTGGTGGATATGAAATTCTTTTTTATTGCGCCACTTAAACTATGCCCTTCGAGTTTCCGTCCCGAGATATCAAGAAGAATACATTATCGTTGAATGGGATCAATTCAGATTTCAATAACAAATATGACTTGTTGTTCAAGCGAATAAATAATTGATTTGGATAATTATTACTTGTGATATAGAGCTATGTGTGTATCGATTACGTGGACAAGTTGAGAGTTAGAGAAAAAAATGTTTAGAAAAACGAATTTTGAAAGAAGATAATGCTGAGAGTGACAATTCGTGTGCACATTAAGGAGTAAAATGCTTTTTATTTTTGAAATTTGAAAGGTGTTTTGGAACCATGTGAGTTTTGATGACGTGGCCAAGTCGGGAATTTGATTGTTGTTACTCCTATGGGAATGTAATGGGGGTGCATAAGAATCGATCGCCAAAGCAAAGTGTATGTATGGGGAACGGGAAAAAGAAGACGGTTTTACCCCCAGAGCGAGAGAACGAGCGTTGTGTATAACGTTTGCAGTTCGATCCCCAGCAGATCGGTAAATCAGGCGATTTTTCCGCGTGCGGATTCAAAATGGCGTACATCGGCCCCCACACACTGCCTGAAATACAGACACACATACACACACACATGCATGCATGCCGACCAACCCCCTGCCACCCGCCGGATCCCCATACTCCCCAGCAACCCCCCACATTCACCCCCCATACGTGTGTAAACTGAGGGGGGGCAGCGGCGGCGCTATATCGGTGTGGGCGGTTCTAGGCTTATGTACTATTGGAATTTAGTTTTGTGCATGTACATAGGGGCACCGCCGTGTTTCGTTCGGTTTTGCATTTACGTCGACGACCGGACTCTCTCACACATTGCACACAAAACCTGATTGTGTTGGGGGGATGGTGGCGGCTGCAGAGACGATGGGGGCGGTGGAACATACTCTACACACGCCGAGCGCATGGGCCCCAACGAGCCGCGCGTTTCGCAAACGTGCCGGGATGATCATCACCACCTCCACCAACGACCACCACCTCTTCACCCTCATGATCATCATCATCCCCGTAATGATAGCTCTCCATCCGACCAATTACCGGCATTCCGAATCGCCAAAACACCGTTTGCGCAAACTTGATTTTTCATTGTAACGCCGCGTCAATTTTTTTTATCCTTCCCTAAACGATAAAAATTGCCGCAAGGACCATTTATCCTTTCGTTCTTTTTCAAACCCCCCGACAACCACTCAACCCACGACCGTTAATAGGTCGCACGCCTCGCGGAATACGTAATTTCTTAAAGGAAATATCCGAAACCCTTTCACAATAAATTTTTATTTGATATCTCAACCCCTTCAACACGTCCAGAAATTCTTCGCGAAGAGCTTAAAAACTGCATCCGTAACTTTTTTTCACCGATCAAGGGATTTTTTTACTCTCTTTCACCCCTCTCAATGCAAACCCCCATTATATGCAGGCTTTGAATGCAAAATGACGATGACAATTTGAACCCTATACACTTAAAAACCCTTTCAACTACAATCAGATGAAAAAAAACTTGCACGCATCAATCGATGAAACTCTAATCTCATTAATTTGTTATTTGTATATATTTGTTTTTTTTTGTATAGGTTCTTCATCGTTTACGCAATTTGCGCTCAATAATTAAAGACCCATTTTGTTTATGTTATTTTCTCCCTCGGAATTTCAATAGAGCCGGAGGATTAATTTCGCGAGGGCGCCCTACTCGGACGTTGGTCGAAATTAAAAAGGAAAATATTTAATTATTCTGATAGGGACAAGAACGAAACCCTCCTTTCACCCCCCAAAAGACTCGGCTGCTCCCAGCTCATGTTAATAAGAAAATCGTCGATGGGCAATCATTATTCTTTCAATAGCCGATTCCTGCCTGCCCCGACGGTTGATATTAAAACAGGATGAGCCGTGGGGCGGCGGCTCCGGCAAATGAATAATTCGCGGATGTTTGCAACGCATCGCGATGTACGCAATGAAAATTGCATAATGCCAAACCGAAAGCCCTGCTCGCTGCAGGGGGACATCGGACCGCCGCCACCGTTGAACAACCCCCCAATCCACCCCCTCTGCGTTTCGGATGATGAGCAACGCTGCTGGGAAATGCAACGCTGCAAATCGAACGCATCGAAATACGCAATCCAACTCTATTATAAACGCAAAACCAATAACGAATTTCCTTTTGCGAAATACATTATAAAATTTTAAAAAAAAAGAGTGAAGGATGAGCGAAAGTGAAAAGTTCTCGTGGAGGTTCGGAAAAGCGGATCTTCCTCGCCCCGTCGAAATCAAATTTTTAATCTGAGCCCGCCCGCACCTCTAAGCAGATAATCCGTGCGCGCATTACACCCTCTCTCCTTTTTACTGGCGCAATAATAAAAAGGGTTAAGGTTTGAAATTAAATTCAACTTTTAGCCCACCGTCCTCCTTAGCCCTTCAATCAAAATGCAAACAAAACTTCCGCTTCTAATAGCCGCCGCACCACCAAACCCCCAACCCCGTCCAAACTTTGATATTAATTTAAAAATCCTCTCTTTCTTTGAGAAAACCTCCACTACTAAAACCGATTGCAATTAACATTAATGATCTATTAAGGAAGGAGAGTGGTAAAATGGAGAGGAAGACGATGAAAGAGAGAAAAAGATAGGAAAAAAAACATCGTCAACGAGGTTCCTTTCGATTTTATGAAGATCCACTAGAACGAAACTTCACTTACAGCGACGAAAGCAGAAAAAAAGTAGTCGAAAAACTTCCGTTATGCGGATTTTCCTTTAAAATTCTTACGTTTTAACAATCCCATTTTTCAACTGTTAAGCTAATCTTAGTTGGCGTTTTAAACAGACTTCGAGTAATAGAATAATTCTTAGAAAAAACAACCAACATTTATTATATTTGTAGACTGATTAGAAGTAAAAAATATTATATATTTAAACACTTAATTATAATATGTTTTTAATTATTCGAAAAAAATAATGGAAACAAAATGCAATTTCATAAAAATAACAGAAATCGTAAAGTTTACACTTGAATCAAAATCATTTTGTCACTTTGACATTAAGAAATTTTATAATTATTCTCAACATTATGTTTCTATACATAACAGTAATTAAATAATTTAATGATTGAAAGGATGAGGTTGTTAATATAAATCAGTGGAATATAGGTTTTTGTTTCATAATAGGAGAAGTCATAAACTAGTAGTAGTAGTATCAGTAATTAGGAGGAAAAGGTATATTATTGATATAGAATAAGTTGCTTACCTGTATGCAGTCTGGTGTGTTGCTGGACATGGCTGAGCTGCTTGAAGCGGCGATCGCAGTAGGAACATTTGTAAGGCTTCTCGCCGGTGTGGACCCTGATGTGCTGAACCAGCTGATGGTTGCTGCTGAAGGACTTCAGACATTGCTGACACTGGTGTGGCTTGACCTCCGATCTTCCGCTCATCTCGCGCACATGCATCTGCATCGCTGATTTGTGCATGAAGATCTGAACACGGCGTTGCGGAATTGACGATGGTGACGGAACAGGGAAAGAAACAGAAACAGAGAACACACAAAATTAATCATCGAGTACAAGATTAATCAAGTTGGGCAAATCTTGGAAACAGAGAAGAATCGAGAGAAACTTTGTGTTGAATTATTTTTTTCGTTGTATGCTTTGTGTAATGTATAGTGTAAGTGAAAATCGCAGATTAAAAGAATATCAGGTGTTTCATTCTCCTTTTTTTTTCGGATGATTTGCGGCGTCCCGCGAGATGAAATATATATAAAAAAAAAGGGGAGAGAGAAAGAAGCAACACGAAACACTTTGCCAAATGAAAAACGTAATTCAATATAAATCTTGTCGGATATTTGCATTAAAGATATTAAAGGATGAAGATGAAGAAGGGTTGATCGCGTGGGATCGATAGCTTTCACTTGCGTTTCTTTTCAAACCGAAAAAAAAAAAGAAACTTTATTTTCCCTTCATTCTTCGTTTCGGTTTTTTTTTTTTATATAATCAGAGAATGAAATAACAGATAATAAGCGGTTGCATCGGGGGCGAAGAGCCGGAGAAGACGGATTAAATAATAAGAAGAAAAAAGTAGTGTGTATTGAAGGAGCCGAGCAGATGTTTCCGAAAAATGTAAAGCAGCTACCTTATGGCTTGACCCCTTTTGTGTAGCAACGCTTCTACTTCGGTCCCTCCATCATCATCATTGTTCTACACGTTAATTTTTCAAAACGTTTATTGTAACTCTCGCTCCATCCGAAGGGAATCCATACCGAAACAAATAATAATCACCTCCATTATTATACCTGAGCGTAGAGTTGTTTTGTTGCTGTTGTTTCTATATTATTTTATTTATTTATTTATTTATTTTCACAATGAATTGTTATTATTTCTCCGTCTGTGTAACATTTCGCAATAAATTCCCTCAGAAATTAAAATGCTTTTGAGCGAGAGAGCGAAGTTTTGTTTTCGCCGCGTCTTTTTCCTCTCTTTTCGTTTTTCCTCTTACTTTTTCGTCCTTTCCTCTCACTCCGCGCGCTTGTTTAATTCCTGAGCGCCACCGGCTGGAGAAATCGTAATGAAATATTAAAACTGAAGCATTATTTTAATAATGACGAATTAAAACGGCAGGTAAGCGTCGAAATCGCAGAAAGGCCGTGATTAAAAACGAGGGTCTCAGAGTGGGGTAGCTTAGGGGGATGGATCCAACCTCTCTACCGAACGGGAGGAGGTGGGTTGCTTTTCAGTTCGAGAAAAGTTGAGAGCAAGAATCCTTTTACTTTTTTTGCTCGCACTTTTTTATTCAGCTTTTTTTATTCATTTACAGATATTACCAAGAAATACTATATGCAAGATTAAATATTATTGTCTTAATCAATTAAAGCTAGCGAAAAAATAAAACATGTTCACATAACACTTGTAGTAGACAAGATTAGTGACTATAATGGAATAGTTTTGTAATAATTATAATATCATATTTATAAAATATTTTTTATGCAATATGATAACGGAAGTAAAACCTATAATCTTTAAAGTTGATTTTTGTTAAGTTTCGCAGTGTTCGAGATTTTCCACGGATGTTATACGAGGGAAATTTTTTGTAATTTCTTGTTACCTGATGTTGATAATCGAAAGGTGGATAAGTGCTGAATTGAAAGAAAGGCTGAGGCGGCGCGGACGGCGGCTCGAACGTTCCGTAAGGGTGAGCGGTGGGAATAGGCGCGGGGGAAACCCACGAGGAGGAGGTCGAAGACGGTCCGGGGGCGGCATACGAAGGCACCCCTCCGTCCGTTTTCTCAAAGCCACCTTTTGTATAGTTCATTGTTTCATATCCGAAAAGACAAGAGGAGGTTTGGTTCGGTCACTGTGCTTGCCGATGCAGCGATATTCCGTTTGCTGGTTATTATATCACACTGTCTTGTCTGTGTCGTATTCACACATACACACACCACTCACTACGGATTCGGTCAGGTGCAGAAAGTGAGCGCGCCACGCAGAAAAGAGTATTTGGAAGTAGTATTGCTCACACAAAAGTACGGAAAGAACTAAACGAATAATTTAAATATGCCCCATATTTATAATAATTAATATAAAATCAATATATTAAATAAATCACATTTGCTTTTATTTCGGACGTCGAATGGTGTGCGAGTGTGTGTGTGTGTATGAGTGTGCATGAATGTAAGTGATTTACGCAAAATTGTGCCTTATTATAATTAGTCGTTAAGATAAGCGCAGACCCAGAGCATGGGATCGAAAATGTGCAAGAAACTGCATCGGACCAAACGATCCGACATCGGAGAATAGATCTGAGACTATCGACTTCGTCGGATTGGACGACTATAATTGGGTCAAATTATTTGTATGATAATAAGTGCAAAATGCATTCGGATTTTTTACTTTGTTTTTGTTGTTTTCTCCGAGGGGGGAAAAATCAAAAAAGAAACGAATCGAAACAAGCGCACACTCGCTCCGCTCGCTCGGCTTACGCAGACGCCCGCAGCGTAACGGAACGGAAAGGAACGGAACGGAACCGAATCGGACGCACCGGAGAGCTGCGATAAGAAAGATGAGCATTCCTACTTTTCGATGATGATGCCGATTGCTTCTAGAATCCATTCAAATCGGGTAAATCCGAAAATCATCTTGCGCAAGTCGACGTCTCCAGACATATGCCGATCGTCCACTTTCTCCGAGTAAACATGCAGTAAATAAACAAACTGGCGTCAGAGATGCAGGACGATCGGCGCTTCATCCTCTTATCAGCTTATCCGTTTGTGTCAAATTGAAATAACGTCACCCACACGCGGCACTCTTAGTTTTCAGAAATGACAACACGCATACAATCAAAATGACGCATTTTTGTGTGTGCATTTCCATTACCTAAGAACAGTTTATTGGATGAAACGAAATCCGGACTTTATTCGTACAATGTAATAACCAATCAATCGACGCTTTGATTGAAACGAATTTATTTTAGGATTTTACAAATTCATTGAAAAATTAGACTTTGAATATTATTATCAACTTTATTAGTATTTAAAGAATATCTACGATAATATTCGTATAAAACATTAAATAAGGCACACTGGACAATGAAGATAATACCCAGATAATATTATAGTCTTAATATATATTATTGTTATATATAACACATAGTTAAAGAGGTAACCTCAAAATAAATGAAACCTAATAATAAATCATTCGTATTGTGTAATTTGTACAAATAATAAGCATTTTTTTGCAATAAACAAGATTGCACTATATACTAAATGTAGACGAACAGGAGTCGATATGTTAATAGTAATATAAAAATATTCCGCATCGTATACGTGTGTAAACATTTCAATTATAACTCCGTACGTTTAATTGCCATACGTTTATGAATCGAGTCGCTATTTTTAGTCTATTTTCTTATTTATTCGTTCTCTTCCTCGTACGTAAGTATTTTTTTTATCACTTCGTAATACGAATAATTATTGTCGTGCAATTAATGCACAATATAACGGAAATAAAAACTGTTCCTAGTAGAAGTATTTATTACTACTTAACTATTAGACTTTAGATGCAAACTGCACTATAAGACAATGTTACAATGTTTTGGAGACACAACGATATTTTTTTTAGTGGATTGTTGTTTTCAAACTATAGACGTGTCGAAGTATTTATTACTGACAGTACATGTAACCATCAATTTGAAGAGAGTGTAAAATCTAAATTTAAGTGATGATCATCTTGTAGTCCGAATAATTTTATTTTCAAGTTATTAATACTTAATGATAATCTGTTAATCAATTTAGAAAATTAAGTATTAAGATTTTCTATATGAATTGTAGTTAATCATGTAGATAGTTCTGTCTTGATTGTTGTTTGTAAAGGTTTGGATTGGATGGCGATTGGTAAGAGCCATTGGACAGGATTGGATCTCGCGGGGAAAGTGAAATTGAACATTATTTATTTAACGATAGCGTCTGGCGTGGAGTGTTGGAGTGAGTTGCGAGGCGCAAATAGAGACATAAATCGGCCGAGAGAACACACATAAGAAATTAAGAATGTTTTAATTGTACGACTTGTAATCCGATCCGTGGAATAGAAATCGTCATATTAAAACGGGTCTTCGGTTCTCTCCTTGCGACGTTTTTTGCGCCCATCGCCATATATACAAGTGCATTATAAATTTCCGAACGCGCGATGAGAGAGCACTCACACACACGCTCAGATAAATACGTATACAATAAGTACATATACAGGGTACGAGGAGATGCGAGGATGGATGGCTTCATGTATGGGACGAGGTTAGCTTATCCTACCTAACCTGGCGCAAAGTTATAGAGGAGAGGTTCGTATGTGTGTGTATGTGTAGTACGCACCCGGCAAAACTGGAAAAACCGACGGCAGAAACAACTTGTTAAATAGTTGAAGAACTATTTTAATGGCGTTTTTTATTGCCTCCATGGGCTTTATTAGATTATCGAGCTCGCACGGAATTTGCGAACGACCACCGGAAGTGCAGCCACCTAACGAAAACCGCGACGCGTCCGATTTTCAGGCGTTGCTTCTATCCTCCTTTTTTTATTTCATAATTTTATCTTCCCCTTTATCAATTCGTACCACCCAAAAACAATGTAAAGAAGATAAAAATGAGTTAACATAAAATACTGAAGGATATTTTGTTAGATAATAAAAGCTATAAATGAAGATACAAGTAAAAAAAAAACGGAATGGAAACGTTTCATCATTTTTTGCATGTAATTTTATAGTTGTTACAATAAATATTGTGGCTATTATTTTATACAATTATATTGTTATTATTTTTGTCAATCAGAACCAACGAAAAATAAATGAAACAAGTTTAAAGAACGAAAATGGTATCGGATCTCTTCATTTATTATTTTTTTCCAGTCGCCTTCTTCAATTTAGAAAGTTGAAGGTTTAAGGAACCGGGGGAAGGACGACTCATTGCCGCACCGATAATAAAATATCAACAGGAATTGTGATCTTGAAAAATCCAG